TTCAGAGGAGATTTTGAAGAACCTAACACTGAACAGGTTTTCCAGGAACTTTTTTTTTTTTTAAATTATGGTGTCCTCTCAGAAAGTTTACATTAAGAAACATAGGAATGAGTACATGTCAGTAAGGATATCCCAGCATTGAAGAGTTAAGGTATGAGCAAATTATTCAGGCATTTACTCTTAACATACTTGATTACTTAGGTCAGCTTTTGTTGGCATTACTAGAAATGGAAAATGTGAATCAGTGGAGAAGAAAAGCTGGATAATTGTTAAGTTGCCTCTGGAAGGACTGATGTAAGTAGTACATTTTAATTGTAAATTTTCACAGTCTCAAAGATGAAGCCAGAGTAGGAACTAGCCATTAATTTTCCAAAGCAATTATGGAAGCATAAATGTATTGAACATCTACTGTATGCCAAGCACCAGGGATGGAGCAAAATGACATTCATAGTCTAATGGGAGGCAGACAGTGATCGGGTAAGAATATCAGTTGACGGTAAATGCTGTGTAGAGATTTAGATACAGTATGATCAGCAGAGAAACAGATTGTAGAAGAGCTTCAGAGTCCTGATTCTCTGCTTTCTATCAGATAATGCTGTTTCCATTTCACATTTAAGGTTATATTTCCAGGCAATTTTGTTAAAAATCAGTGCTAACCTAAATATTTCATGTAATGGTACGAATATAGAAATCAAATAGAGCTGGGGATAAAGTTAACACTATACTTTTTAAAGGAAACTTTTTGCAAAATATCCCTTTAATGAAGAACTTTTTACTGTTCATTACTTTTTACACTCCTTAACAGGACTCTAGTATGGGATTCCTTTTTACTTACAGTACCTCGCCCACTGGCCAGAGTATTTCATCGTTGCAGAGGCACCTGGTGGAGAATTAATGGGTTACAGTAAGTATAATACCACTAGTACTTTTTTGTGTAGGTAGTTAAGATTTTAATATAAGTTTCAACCTGATTGTTTTAGACTGCAGAATTAGAAGTATAATCATACCTGTAATTTTATTTCCTTTTCAATCTTTCAGCAACTTACTGATCTCTTCTGTGTGTTAAGTGCTGTGCTAGGCCTAGCGGATACAGCAGTGAACCAACCAGACAGACATGATCTCAGTCTTCTTGGATTTTTCATTCTATATTTATGTTAAATTTTTACATGGATTATGAGGGTACTTCAGAAAGTTCGTGGAAAAATAGAATTAAAAGGTAATACAAATCTTTCCATGAACTTTTTGAAGTACCTTCCAATTTGGTACATAATGCCCAGATTGTAGCATCTTCATTGAATTAGCACAGCTAATAACAAAAACTTGGGCTGGGAATTGTCTCAGTTATATGTACATATATAAATAACCACATGAAATGCAGATATTTGAAAAGTACATACTCTTTTTAAAAAACTTTTTCTGATTCTAGAACTAGATATAGCATTACATTTGCAAGTAAGTTTTAAATGAAATCACTAACCATTAGCCAGATGACTTCAAGTAGTACTTAAAAATTAAAACCTTGTCATTAGTTTCCTTTATAATAAAAATGTACCAAACAGTAATTTTATATTTAATATGTACATCAATGTGTCTAATTACTGAATGCAATTTTTTGTTGGCAGTTATGGGTAAAGCAGAAGGCTCAGTAGCTAGGGAAGAATGGCATGGGCATGTCACAGCTCTATCTGTTGCCCCAGAATTTCGACGCCTTGGTTTGGCTGCTAAACTTATGGAGTTACTAGAGGAGATTTCAGAGAGGTGAGATCTTATTTTTCAACTACACTTAGTGATTTATGAACCCTACCCATTTCATTTTTCTCTGGTGAACATTTATAAGATTATTTCCCTTTAGGCTGAATAACAATTATGTTTTACAGTTTACAGGAATTTCATTTCCAGCCTCCAGTAGTCCTTACAATTCTGTCACATATTCAGAGTGGTATTATTGTTCCCTTTTCACCACTGAGTAAAATTAAGGCAAAGTGTTTTGAGTGACCTGCTATAGGCCTAAAGTTGGTGGAATCAAAGACTATCTCTCAAGGTTTCATTTAGTGTTGTTGCTACTATGGCAGACATTCCCAAATTCTCTGCTAACACCGCCCTTAGCAATGTAAATTTCTCACAGTGCTCCTAGATCGAAAGCAGTCTTAACCAGTTTTATTCTAACTGCTTAATAAGTATTTACAGCCTATCAGCTACAGGTTGAGTATCCTTTATCCTAAATGCTTGAGACCGAAGTGTTTGGGCTTCGGATTTCTTCAGATTTGAGGATATTTGCATATACATGAGATACTGGGGGAGGGGAGGAACGAAAGGCTAAACATGAAATTCATTTATGTTTCATATATACCTATACACATAATCTGAAGGCAATTTTATATAGTATTTTTTAATAACTTTATATATGAAACAGTTTGCGTATGCTGAACCATCAGAAAGTAAAGATGCCACTATCTCAGCCACTGATGTGGACACTGGTTGTCATCACCATCATTCCTGACTCTGAATTTGTATGCTAGTGATAAGCAATCATTTTCTTACACTTTCACATAAGTATTTAACAGTAAAAGATATGACATACCATTAATACAGTGAAAATATAATATATTCAGGGTAGTGTGTGGGCATGATTGCATGGGAGAATCTGGACGTGCAAAGAAAAGATACTGCAACTGAAGGGAGCTGGGAGGGTATTCTCTCCTTTGGGGGTGCTGAATAAACTTGTGTTATGCCCCTGTGTTTTGGGTCACATAAGGTTAGGTTTGGAATTTTCCACTTGTGGCATCATGTTGGTGCTCAGAAAGTTTTGGATTTTGGAGTATTTTGGATTTCTGGATTAGGGATCTTAACCTGTAGTAGCCACTTAGAAAAAATAAATTGAAAGAAAATTTATTATTTCATTCTTAAATAACTATGGTTATCTACTAGTGAGATGTGTGCACCTGTTGGGCGTTGAATGACTTCTCAGATCTTGGAAACAGATTCAACACAGTCACCTGCATTCCTGTTTCAAATTGATTTTCATGTGGTACTGTTTTTTTAATCACAGCAACTGCCAGAAACCCAACTTCATAAAAATATGCCATTAAAGAGAATGTAGCACAATCTAATGTTGAATTTGTAAACTACTTCACAGTCTAGTAGTTTTCCTATATGTGACATGTAAGATTTTGCTGTGTTTTCCTAGAACATCTGAAATATTCTATGGTACAACAGTGCGTGGTTTGCGAACTGCCAATATTATGGCATTTTTAAAAGAGACCCATTGTATATATCAAGCACCCTCATTATATGATAAAACTAATACAGTAATTAAAAGTGAGGTTTCCTCCTCCCATCTCCCATTCTAGAAGAGATAAGAAATTTGTGTATAAGTGTGACCAGTTGTCAAGCTCCCATTTCTTTTAGTGCCTAAAAGCGTAGTAGGAAAGAAAATAGTTGCTGAGAAGGGCTCTTTAAGACTTAATTTCCACTTAATTACTGTATATAATAAAGGCAAGTTTTAAAGAGGTAATTGTGCCCTGACAAACACTCTGTGCCAAGTTAGAGGCAAGAGAAACTTGAATTCTTTCAGAGAAGAGAGGAAATAGTGTTAGCTGAAAAAAAAGTCAACTCTAGTCTTTAAGATTTTTAAAAGTTCTCCCTAGACTGAACAAAAGAAGGGGAGAAAATTTTTAGAAAGATTAGTTTACACACTTCATAATGACATACCTGGTTGAAAAAGGCATTTGGCATTATTGCATAATGGACAGGGAGGTAGGAAAGGGTAGCTAACTAGCTATGACCTTGCATATATAATTTAATGTATTTATAGGATAGATTCTCTGTCTCTGAGTAGAAAATCACTAGGCTGCCTTCCCTTCCAGTTTCTGAACCTTTATTATTGTAGAATAATTGCTAAGATTTAAGTAATATTTGTTTTTATGCATGTATACATACATACATACATATACACATACTTATATACATGTATTTTTAAATGTATACATTAAAAATAGAAATATAATTTTCAAACAAGCAGAGGAGAAAAAAGTTGAATGATAAAAATCTATCCAAAAGAAGAGAGAAAGGAAATTGAACTGGCAAAACACAAAGCATGAAATAACATGTTATCTATAAATTCCAAATATTATCAGTAATTATAACAGAAAATGTTAATGGACTGATGACTCCAGTTAAAAGACAAAGACTGTCAGAACCATATTCTGCTTACAGGAATTATGTGTAAAGATTAAAGATACAGAAAGATTGAAAGTAAAGATACTTTTAAAATTACTATGCAAATACTAACCAAAACAAACGTGGTATATTTATATTAATAATAGTTAGATTACAGTTGAACAATTATTATTACCAAATGTCACTGCATATTGATAAATTACTTAATCTATCAAGAAGATATAACAATTAAAAATTTGATGTACCCAATGACAAAGATCCAAAGTAAAAATGCCAAAATTCACAAAACTACAAGGAGAAATAGTTCTTTATCATAATGGGAGGTATATACATGTTTCTCTCTGATAGAACAACCAGACAGAAATTGGTTAAGGGTATAGAACAAGGGTCAGCAAATTTTTTCTGGGCCAGATAGTGGCTATTTAGGTTTTGCAGACCACCTAAGGTCTCTGTTGCATTTTTTTTTTAACCCTTAGAAATTGTAAAAACCATTTTTAGCTTGAGAGTAATACAAAAATAGTTGCAAGCCAACTCCTGCCTTAAAGAATTTCAGTCAGTAGCCAAAAATCTTTCCACAAAGAAAGCTATGGCTTCTCTAGCAAATTTTACCAATTGTTTAAGAAATAATGATTGTAAGGGCACTTTTACACAAACAAAAAGAGGGAATATTTCTCAACTCATTTTTTTTAAGGCTAGGATAACCTTTATAACAAAACCTGACCAAAAATATGAGAAAGGAAAATTGTAGGAAAACTTCACTTAATAGATGAAAAAAATCACAGAAAAATCATTAGTAAAGTGGATTCAGCAATACATAAAAAGGATGATATATCAGGAGCAAGGCTGTTTTAACTTTAGAATAAAGGAGGACAATTGTTACTTCACTAAATGCATGGAATTTGATAAATTCCAGTATTCATTCATGATAAAAACTTAGTAAACTAGGAAATAGAAGGGGAGAACTTCCTTAACCTGAAAAAATACCTACACAAAATCTGTAGTAAATATGTTTAGTTGTGATGCATTGAATGCTTTACCTTTGAAATCAGGGACAAGGATGTCTAAGATAAATAAAGATATGAAGATTGAAAGGAAACAAAACTTATTTTGCAGATATGATTGTACAAAGAGAAAATCCACCAGAATCTATAAATACATGTTTAGAGTTAATGAAAGTTAGACAAAGTTATTGAATTTAAAGTCAGTATAAAAACCAATTGTATTTCTGTATACCAACAGTAAAATGACATTTGCACTGGCATGAAAAAACAAAGTGCTTAAGAAATCTAACAGAAGCTGTGCAAGACCTCTCAGATGTTTGTTATAAAGTAGCCCAGCTAAGTGGTGAGATAAAGTACATCTGTGGATTGGAGGATATTGTAAAACTCGTAATTGACCACAGATCCAATGTAATTGCAGTCCCAAGTATTATTTGTTGGACTTGTTGATTCTGAAACATACAGGAGAATGGAAAGACTAAAAAGAGAGATGTTCTTGAACAGCAACAACAAAATGGTGGATCTGCCCCTCCACATACCAAACAGTAATGAGTAAGACTGTGTATTGGTGCTGGAGTAGTTGTCTAGATCAGTGGAACAAAATTTGAGAAACAGATATAAGAATACATGAATTTTGACATACCTCAGACAGGCAATGCAGATCAGTAGTGTAAACTTTTCAGTAAAGATGGTGGGTCAACTGGATGTCCACATGGGAATAAAATTTTCCCAAACTATTACCTTACCAAATACACAAATCAGTTCCAGATGTATTAAAAACCTAGATGTGAAAAGCAAAACTGAAAAGTCCTTTGAATATAATAGAGTGTCTCCATAACCTCAGGGTAGAAAAGAACTGAAATAGGTCATAAGAAGTGCTAACTATAGAGGAAACATTCATATATATATTCAACTTCACTGAAGTTAAGTAACTTCATCAAAAAGTACCATGAGGATAATGAAAAGACAAGCCACAAATTAGAAAAATATAATTGCAAAAACATTACACAGTGTTGAATATGCAGAGTACACAGAGAACTGCAGCTGGCAGGGAAGATTATGTCAATAAGAACTATATAGAGGGATAAATCTAAATAGCCAAGAAACAAAAATATATTCAGCCTTGTTAGTAATCAGAAATGCAAATTAAAATCATACTGAGATACCACTACACCACGAGATTGGCAAAAATAAAAATGTCTGATGCACGAAGACTTGCTACTGTGAAATGGTCTTACCTTCTCTGTGGGAGTGCAAGTTGATACAAACCAGTTGGCATTAACTAACAAAGTTGAAGATGTGCATGGCCCCTATGACACAACAATGACACTCCTAGCTGTAGACCTTAGAGACTGTACCAGGAGACACTCAACAAAAGTTTTCAAAGCAGCAGTTTGTTTCTCAATAGACACGGACAACGTGTGGTATATTCATACAGTGGAATGCTAACCAAAGTGAAGATGAACAAATTCCAGCTACACAGAAGGGTGGCTCACACAGTACTCACTGAGAGGAGCGAATCACAGAAGACTATATAAAATATGATTCCATTTATATAAAGTTCCACAGTATGAGAAACTAAACTATACTAAGTAAATCTACAGCAAAAAGCAAGGAGATAAGAGTCTGGTCACAAGAGTCAGGAAATGGAGACATATGGGTGAGCAAGGGAATATTACTGACCAGAGAGACTTGAGGGCTTCAGGGTGACCAGTGTCCTGTAGCTACACTTGGGCCATGGCCACAGGGGCGTGTACTTCCTAATCTTCCACTTATATATATAGGGGTGAAAACACTACACTGTATGCTTTGATTATCTTTTAAGAAAACATGTATTGTAGCTTTTGAAATACTGGCACACAAAGTCTTCTTTTTATACTGCAAAATAATTGTTATAAATCCTAAGTAATAAAAATGCTACTATGATGTAATCAACTGTATGGTCCTATTACTACCATTCTATGAGTAGTAGTCAAAGCAAAGTAAAACAAGTGTTTTTAAAAATTACGTGTCTAGGGCCGGCCCGGTGGCGCACTGGATAGTGCGCCGCTTGGGAAGTGCGGCGGCGCTCCCGCCTGAGGGTTCGGATCCCACATACAGACCGGTTCCCGCTCACTGGCTGAGCGAGGCGCGGGAGCAACGCCGAGGTT